CCCTACCTTAAGAATCCAAAACCTACTTTTTTGTAGGGTCCCTATAAATCCCATATTAGGGTTTATTTATAATAAGAACCTACAAAAATGTGGGTTTTGGGTTCTTAAGGTAAATCCTAAATTACACTTACCGAACCATGAAAATAACACCTAAACTTTCACTTAAACTATGAAAGACTTAGACTTACCGAACCATGCAAATAACACCTAAACTGCGGGAAAAAAACAAAACAAGCAAGCGAAAAGTTTGACTCTAGTTTTATGAACACTAAACCCTAAACCCTAAACCCTAAACCCTAAACCCTAAACCCTAAACCCTAAACCCTAAACCCTAAACCCCTTAAACCCTAAACCCTAAACCCTTATCACAAGCACAAAAGACTCCCGCCCCTGGCCTTGGCCATGTCATCCGCCCGCCCGGCGAACTTGTAGCCACCGGACACCTGCCCAGAGAGCCCAATACCCTTTAATTAAGGAATATGGGTTTAGGGTTTAGGGTTTAGGGTTTCGGGTTTAGGGTTTAGGGTTTAGGGTTGAGGGTTTAGGGTTTAGGGTTTAGGGCTTAGGGTAATATTCAGGCCCCTGTATTTTGAGATATATTCCTTATTTATGCGGGCTAGGATTTAGGGGGTTGGGGGTGTGGGTTGAAGGTGGTTTGGGATGTAAGGGTTTACGGTTGAGGGTTGAGGATGGTGTAGGATTTAGGGCTTTAGCGTTTAGAGTTTAGGGTTTAGGAGTTAGGGTTTTGGATTTAGGGCTTTCAGGGGTTTAGGGTTTGGGGTAGTTTAGGGGTTGGGATCTACCTTCAACTACCAGAACCTGCTTTCTGCTGGATCTTATCATCACCCCTAACGTAGAATTTGCAGGGGCCCTACAGAAAAGTGGGTTTTGGTAGTTCAAGGTAGACCCCTGATTACCCTAACCACTGCTATGTACGTAACCCACTATTCAGGCACGCAAAGAAGGAAGCGGACGTCTACATTCGAGCCCAGACTTCTTGTCTGTGAGGCCTGTCCTGAGCTCTTGTAAAGGAGCTTAAATGAAGTTATCATAAGAGGGATCCGTAGCAAATATTATGAAATAAACCCTTAACCCTAAATACCCCTCAACAGGGTTTCCGTTTTTCTGGGCTTTGAAGTAACCAGGGAGAAAAAAGTATAGACTTTTATTTTATAACGGCTCCTTTAAAGAACAGGTCCCCGAAAAAAGTATTAAAGTATGGTACTCCAAAGCCCAGTTTTGGTGGCATTCAAAGAAACTTTCTTGCCCTGAAGGTTTCAGTACCACCGAGCCAGGGGTTGGAGGCCTGTCCAGCAAAAACATAAGAAAGGTCTAGGGTTTTGGGTTTTTGCTTTTTAGGATTTAGGGTTTAGGGTGTAGGGTTTAGGATTTAGGGTTTAGGCTTTAGGGTTTAGGGTATCAGGCTCTTGGTTCAGCGTAGAGGGTATAGGGTGTTTGGCAGTCTTACAGTGAGTCTTACAGCCAACTGCGTCTTGACACAGCTGAAAGTTCGGGCTTGAGGGTTTAAGATTCAAGCCTGCTAGGGTTTGCAACCCTTTCTCCCAGGAAGCTGAAGGAGAAAAAACCCAAAACTCAAAACCGAAAAGCCCTAAACCCCAAACCCAATAACCGAAACCGCAAACCCTAACTTAAAACAAGACCCAATTGCACCTGCTCCAGGCAGTCGCTGGTGCGGTACCACCTCGTAGGATGATACACGGTTCGGAAAAAACACCAACCAAAATATGTTACGGTGTAACTGAACTTACAAGTAGCTAGTTTAGTCTAGTTTTCTATCGGCACTGAAATATACATGGTCTGAGCCCAGGCTTCGTCCAGGGTGTCGGGGTCTGTGACCACTCGGGCTTTGCCAAAGGTTTAGGGTCTAGGGTTTGCCACGGGCGGAGGGCACTGCACAGCAAGTGTGACGTGGGCCACTCGTTGCATTCGTCGCTGTCTCGGCTTGCCTCTACTCTTGCAGGTTTCAGAACTGGCAGACCCAGCCATTATGAGCACATTATGTGCATCAGCAAAAGCATGATATTCAACCGGGATTCCGGAAACTTAGGTATTCGATAACGTAGGGGCCTTTGTAAGCCCCCAAAATAGAATAGGTAATCATTACGGCCCCTACAGTAGGCCAGGCCGGTTATGCCATTTAATGCCGTTGATGCTGCTTCGGCGGAAAACGGTGGATCGGTGTCTCGGCATCGGCATACCCATGTTCCATTGTGTGGTTGTGTCGGCGGGATATCAGCAGGATAGGGGTGGTGTATCGGTGGGTTTAGGGTTTAGGGTTCTAGCTTCAGCGTTTAAGTTTGGGGTTTAGAATACTGCTGATAGACAGAGATTGTCTATCGGTTTTCTTCAGGTCATGCAGGATTCTGTCTATCAGCAACAACATCCTCGTCCAATAGACGAAGCTGCACCTAAACCTTAAACCCTAAAGCCTAAACTCTAAACTATAAGCCATCAAAGTCTATGAAAGCTCGGCTTGCCCAGTCGAACTCCCCGAACCGGAGCCCCCTCCGAAAGAACAGTTGAGGCATTGACACAGCGGCCTAGTACTCAGAGCAAATGCCTTCAAACAGATTGCAGAACCCTATAAGTCTAACAATACAAACTACCTACACAGTCCCTTCATTTCACCCCCACCCCCCCTTAGGGTCCTGATACTTTTTGGGACCCACAAAACTAGGATTTCTGAGACCCCAAAGAGACCCCAGCGTTCCAGACCCTCCCGAGGAGATACCAAAATCCTTAGGGGAAACCCCCAAACCACAAACCCTAAGGGTAAAAGACTTAAAGAAATCTTAAAGGGGACCCTTAAAGGAACCCGAAAGGACCCCTTAAAGGAACCTGAAGGGACCCCTCAAGGAACCTGAAAGGACCCCTTAACCCTTAAAGGAACCTGAAAGGACCCCTCAACCCTTAAAGGAACCTGAAAAGACGCCTTAAAGGACCCTGAAAGGACCTTTAAAGGACCCTTAAAGGACCCTTAACGGAACTTGAAAGGACCCTTAAAGGACCCTTAAAGGAACCTAAGAAGGATCTCGAGACTGCCGGGATGGGAGGCGGACCCCTCGAGGAAGCACTGTTGTTGCCGTTCTCGGTCGTTGAAGTATCCAGGCGTGACTTGTCGACCGGACCTGAGCGGTTTAGGGTTTAGGGTTTAGGTTCCGGGTTTAGTGACTTGCCGACCGGACCTGGGCATCAGCTTTCATCCGTAATATTCTAGATTCTAGAGCGTCTATACTGACATGAGCTTGCTTTTTGTTTAACTGTCTCTTCCCGGGCTTTACAAAGGCTGCATTGGGGAAAGGTGTTATGGTGTAGGAATCAGCACTTTGAGGTATGTACGTATGTGTATATATATATATATACACACAGAAAGGCACGCTGCGGGGCCCCTGTTTTTCACACACAAGGTTTTGTGATGTTACATATATATATACACACATACATATATGAATATATAATTTGAACCGAGACTGAGACAGAGAGAGAGGAAGAGAGAGAAAAGAGAGAGGGAGAGGGAGAGTGTGTGTATATATATGTATATGTATATACAAATATAAAAGCAAATATATTAACGTATAGGAATTGAATTTTGTTGTTCTGCAAGGGCTTACGAGTTTGTACGGTCTGCGCATGCTTCTTCACTGGTTGTACGATGAGGCCTTACGAACAGTCTATCATGATTTTGGTGCAATGAATGTGGCTGAGGGTTTATTTAGTTAAGGTTTCAAAATCATTGCGCTCCTTAGTATTGCTACTGTGACCGTTGGCAGAAAATAGTAGACGGCTCCAGCCATGTAGAAAGCAGATCTCTGCCTCTGTCGTCCTTATCCGAAAAGCTGTACTTCACGACCTCGATGGCCTTCTGCGTACTGAAGCCCCGCCAGCACGAAGAGAGTACCTCTTTAAAGTGGTACCAGTTCACGGCATGAGAGACTGGGTCGATTTCCACCTTCGGGGGCGGTCGTGCTTGTTTCTGGGACCGCTCGTCGTTGGAATGACCTCTCGGGTAGAAAGTCATTGTTTTCGACAATGAGTACTGTGCTCGCTCGGTCATGTAAGGGCGACCGCCTGGGAAATCGGGGAAATCCTCTGCCGTAATCCGTGTGCAGCTTGATATGAGTAAACCCTAAACCCCTAAACCCCTGAACCCTAAACCCCAAAACCCCTAAACCCATCAACCCTAAACCCCTAAACCCTAAACCCCTACAACAGACACCTTAATTGTTTAGGGTTTAGGGTTCAGGGTTCAGGGTTTAGGGTTTAGGGTTTAGGGTTCAGGGTTTAAGGTTTAGGGTTCAGGGTTTAGGGTTTAGGGTTGAGGGTTTAGGGTTCAGGATTTCGGGTTTAAGGTTTCGGGTACATAGGGGCCCAACAAAAGGTTAACCTTTCAGTTATGGCAGGGTTGTATAAACCCCAAACGGTTCAAGGTTACCTACTCGGCTACTAAGTTAATTGTTTAGAGCTTCGGGTTCAGGGCTTAATTCGGGAATATACGTGTTAGGGTTCCTTCAAGGGATCTATGCGGGTGTTTACACGGATACGATAGGAAGTAGGGCATATGCCTGAAGTTATAGTATAGGTCCCTAATCTGATTCAGGGTGCATTCTTTACGTAAGGGGACTTTTGGAAGGTTTTTGATGGGAACTCAGGGCATACCGCCCTTGCACGTCCTGTATGCAAAAGTCCTAAAGCTTCATAGAACTCCTAATGAACCCTTACAGAACTGTAAGCACCCTAAAGCCTTACAGCTCTAGCATCCTACAGAACCCTCATAGCATCCGGATAACACTGTATTATGTGCAAAAACCTAATTTAAAGGAAACTACAGGTGGGGAGTTTAGGGTATGTAGGGTATATAGACCTTCTATATGGCTCCTATAACGGTAACTACCCACCTGAAACTGTCCTAGACTAATCGAACCCAGTCAGAATCTTTATAGCACCCCTACAAAACCCTGACAAAACCGTACAAAAAGCCTTAGACTAGGCTGGCCCCTCAAAGCCTCTGAAAAATATTCGTAAATAAGATCCTCTTAAGGCCAATAAACGAAAATATCAAATGTGGAATTTCCGAGCAAAGCCCTCCGAGCCCTCAGCACGAGCAACTCCCCCTGTCCCGGATCAGAGCCTGCCTGCTCGGATTGCAGGGGTTTAGGGTTTTGGGCTTAGGGTTTGGGGCTTAGGGTGTAGGGTGTAGGGCTTAAGGGGTTTAGGGGGTTTAGGGGGTTTAGGGGGTTTAGGGGGTTTAGGGTTTAGGGATTTTGGGTTTAGAGTTTAGGG